TGTAGATCGATCAACACCAAATCTTTTTGCAATTTCTGTATATGTAAAAGGCTCGTCAGGCTCTAAGGCATTAATAGCTGCAATTGCAGCCTCAATATTGCTCATGGTGGTGGAGATACAAGGTGTTGAAGTTGTGGTAGTTGCAAGGCCGCGTGTGCGCGAGGTGGTGGTGTGCGCGAGGTGGTGGGGCACGGTAGCGCCTTCACTAATGAGACGTCGTTCTTCATTCCTCAGCCTTGCTAAGATTCTCACTCTCATAGACACCCCTCCCCACCTTGCACCAACCACTATTACCTGTACCCAGTGTTCGTTCGCATCACTTGCTGCGTAGTGGCAAGGCTCTGTCAGGGTCTAATCCCTTGGGTTGATCATTGCCTAACTAACTGCTTTTGTGTCACGTGTGACGTTTACACATTCCTACCAAAGGGCGATCTCCCCACTAACATTAACGCCTCCGGCGCATCACTAGCACACCCAAGCGAATTTACCTATAAGAGCCTCGTATCTCTTGCTTTGATCCTCACAGCAAGGCTACAGCGCAAGAATCACCACCATGGCCCACAACCATCAACAACACCCATCTGGCCCGCCTCCTCCGGAACCACATGAAGGGCCTCCACCTTTGCCAATAGAATGCCCGCCAGGTGACAACTATCCAATTGAGTTGTTCAGCCTTCTGGAACCCGAAGATACGATGAGAAAACACGGCTTCGTTATGGAGCCGCTCACAATGGCGGACCTCAAAGGGAAAGCCAGGTGCAAAGACTGCAACCAGAGTACGTGCTAGAAACGTCACTTATGTGCTATCGGAGGTACAAATTGACGCTGCTAATCGAATATCAGCAATGTTCAATCTCACAAAGGATCTAAGAAGGCAGCAAAAATTACGCCGCGCCAACCCAATTCCACCCCCACCAAAGAGGTTCTGGGACCCATTCCCCACAATCTTGATACCAAAAGGGAAAGGTAGATACGATTCAACAGAATGCACAGTACAATGCAGCTCCCACCCTGGGACTGTGGACCGGGCTACGAGGGTAAAAGCAACACTGGCAAAGAGATGAAGCTCATCACTAATTGCATCCAGTGCTTCACTTGTTGTCATGTACCTGTATATGAAGCCAAGCCATGCGTCCACAGCCATGTGCACGAATTACACAGCTATGCGCCTGGCGAACTTGCCCGTGTACACCAGTATCACCATACGCCGGCATGCCATCCAGAAGGCCTAGCATTTCGCGCTGCCGTCGCTATTGACTGCGAAATGGGAACTGCCATTTCCGGAGATAGTGAACTCATTCGCCTGACCGCCATTGATTACCTAACTGGCGAAGTCCTCATCAATAACCTCGTTCAGCCTGACCAACAAATGCTACACCTTAACACCAGGTTCTCTGGGGTCACATTTCTGCAGCTGAACGAAGCGAAGAGGAAAAGGACTTCTTTGAGGGGCAAGTCTGGCGCGAGGGAAGCACTATGGAGATTTGTCGGCCCACATACTGCGCTAGTGGGCCATGGTTTGAACAATGATCTGAGAGCGCTGAAATGGATCCATCCAACTGTGGTTGACTCGTACATGGTTGAACACAAGATTGTGCAAGCGAAGAAAAAGGCCGACAAGGAGGCAGCGGAAGCGGCAGCGGCAGTAGCAGCAGCAGCAGCAGAAGCAACTACCGAAACCTCAGCACAGGATCTAGCTGAACAGATCCTGGATCTACAGTTATCCCCACAAACAGAATCTCAGCCAAAGCAGAAGAGAATCAAGGGAACCGGCGACTTGGCGCTCAAGACGTTAATGAAGAAGTACATCAACAGGGATATTCAGACGCAGGGCAACAAGGGGCATGATAGCTTTGAGGATGCGCTCGCGGCGAGGGATTTGGTACACTGGATGGTTCTGAGGAGGCTTGCAGAGAAGGAGGCATTGGCAGTGTAAGCGAAGCGATGATTCTGATACTAGGGATTTTCATGAAATTGCGTAATGGTTTCTAGGGCTGGTTACATCGTGCGAGGGAATTGGGTGTGTAGCGATATCAAGTTCGGCAAGTCCTACACGATCTCGCTACTTTGAAACAAAACTAGGTGTGCACATGATTACTTACACAACCCACTGTGTCTTCCAGGCGAGCAGAAAAGCAACTTCCAAACACCCACACTGGTTTAAATTAGTACTCACATTGGCTTAAATCAAAATAGATTAAGAGTCATCCACTAAGAAAAAAAACAACAAGTCATGCACAAACAACCCTATACACCCTCCCCCCTTCTCCTCCTCACCTCGACTTCCTCCAACAACCCCCGATAATCCTCGGGCCCATACCCCTCCACCCACTCCTTGACCCCCCCTCCCTTCCTCCTGTCCCTTAGTCCCAAATCCCGCAGCAAAACATCAAAATAAGGCAAAGTATCAAACACCAGATCGGGTAAAATATACCCATAACTCATCGCTCCCCGATGGACACCGTACTGACTATTCCGATACACCTCCTTTAACACGCTTTCCTGTTCAGAGGGTGAAAACGGGGTTGCAAGTGTGCCGGAGAAGAAGGATTCGATCCAGAGGGATTGGATGTAGGCGCAGGGAAAAGTGCCGAGGCAGTGGACTGCGCCTGCGAAGGCGATGGTGGGGTGGGTGAGGAACCGGGGTGGTGCGATGAAGCGGTATAGACGGTAGGGTTGCGTTTGCGCCTTACGGGGTTGCGGTGTAGAGCGGAGGGAGGGGTCCGGGTGGCCTGGCCGATTTACGTTTCGTTGAGATAGGTATGGGAAGTCTGTGAAGAGACTGGTTTCGGATGCGGCCATGAGGGCTTGGTCTGAGGGGGTGGGAGGACATGGTAGGCCGAGATCGTGCTCGAGGGATGGGGGGTTGAAGCGGAATGTGTGGGCTTTTTGCCAGCCTGTGGCGCAGACGAGGGCGTTGGCAGTGAGGGTGGTGCCGGATTTGAGGCGGATGGTTTGAGTGTTTTCTAGAGCGGCGATGTTGTCGAATACAATACTGATTTTTCCGTCACGGACGAGGTCGAAGAAGCTGGTGGGGTAGTTGTGGATGGATAATGCGTTTCCGACTTCAAAGGCGCTTCTCCAGGGTCTCAGCTTCTTCGTCTCCGTGTGGGCGTCGAGTTTGTTCAGTGAAACTGCATCTTCACTGAGTACATACCAGAATCCCGCTATGATCTTCCTGCCCAGCCACGTCTTGTGCAGAAACCAGCGCAGCCAGCCTTCGACTCCCGTTGTCGTAGCCCAGGGGCAAGGCGACATGAAGCCAAAGAAGCGCGTGTGCACCAACTTCTCCAACCACATTCCGAACGGTGTCACATGGCTGGGTGTCATCCATACGGGGCCATTGCCATCTTGTCGGACCAGGAGCGTCGCTGAGGAAGAAGGCTGCGTCGCACACGCGTAGGCTACATCCCAAGCTGATTTCCCGGACCCGACAACCACAGTGTGTGTCTGCGGTCTCACAATTTCCGCATAGTGAGCTGGGAAATCCCGAGTATGTATAACTGGCGAGAAGAACGTAGGTGATGTAGGGTATGCTGGTAGCAAAGGCTTGTTTGTATTTCCTGTTGCTACGATGACTTTTTTGGCTCGTATCACCGTCTCTTTCTTTTCGGCCGAAGATGACGACGACACACAACGTAATATCCAACTCTCCTCTTCATCGCCCTGCTCTTGCTCAAGCACCTCGACACTCGTGTTCAGACGGATGAATTGTTTGATATCCGCCCATTCTACAAACGCACAGAGGTAATCGTACATTTTGGGCGCATCAATATGCGCTCCTTGTTGGACCCCGAAGCGCTTTTGATCCATGGGAAAATCAGGATGCTCGTACATTCCCCATAAATTGTTAGTTTTTAGGCCTGGGAAAACGCGTTCCGGGGCCCATGGTCCGCCGATGGAGGGCGCAGAGTCGAGGATGAGAAGCTTGGCAGAAGGGTGCAAGCGATGGTAGGTATGCGCGGCTGTGAGGCCATTGACGCTTGCACCTATGACCACCACGTCTGCTTCTTCCATTGTTGTGCTGTGAGATAGTGAATACGAAGATAGGTCAGAGTTGGTGGGCTGAAGTTGTCTATAATAATTCCTATGCGAGATCGGAAGAATTTAGCCAATAAGCAAGACTGATAACGGGGGCCATATTAATAGATCTGCCTTGTGCTTACTCTAAGAAAATATGCCTGCATGATATGAGTGGACAGGATAGGTTGGTGGCCTGATTGCAAGATAGTAAGCGAGATGGATGCAACTCAGTGGACATGGCACTTCTTCCAGCGTAGTTAACATAGTGCCAGTTTTGCATACATGCCCAAACCTATTCGATTGCCTCCGGAATTATTCGGCCTATGATAAAATGACATGTGGAATTTTCATCAATTGCGCTTTTCCCATTCGGTTTCGGGTAAGTAAATGAATCATTAAAGTCCGCGGGGAAACTGATCCCTCATTACTGGTAAAGAACACCAAATCAACCACCTGGATACATCACAACTTTGCTTTTACAGAACCAACGCCAGCCTGGACTTGTACGGTGCCTGCTGCATTGGTGTCGACAGTGACCACGACGCCTTCTGTAGCAGTCTCACCTGGCTTCAGTAATATCTCTTGGCAGTCTTCGTTACCTACATCGTTGGCGAACTGTACAACTACAAAGTCGATTGGCCGGTCTCCAATCACTACCATAGGTGCATGCCATGTCCCAGCACCATAAGTCACAGCTTGAGCCCCAGTCGCAACAAAGGCGCGGACATTCTTGAGATCTGGGAGGCCGGGTCCTTTGGGCCGCGCAGACGGATGCAGGTGGGAAAAGTGACTTTGTGTGGACGTGCCCTCGTCCGAGGGACTGGGTCTTCCTCGTCCGAATATGTCGAACACACTCCCATTTCCCTTCATAACTGGCGCAGGATATGGCGGGGCCCTGTCTGTCCGATACTTGGACGCGCTCGCAGGGAGAGTTGGTGCGACTATGACAAGATATTGTGTGTGCCTGTCTTGTTGTGCCAAACCCATGGGTATAAACGTCTGCGTGGTAAAAGGGTGTCGCTCGAGAATAGAGACATCCAATAGCTGCTTGAGGCAGTCGTCGTTTCCGTCCTCGTCCTCATCCAGGTCCAAGTCGCCCCAGGAGCTCGGCATGCTCATGCTGGGCTCGTGTGGGCGCAGGTTGCGCGGCGAGCAAACAAACATGTTCATGACGGCCCGAGCCGGCTTTTTGCTGGGCGCAAGGGTATACAGATTTGACATGTGGGTGACATCGAGGTACTTTGTCGCAGAGCCCTGATTGGCGGACACTGCTTCGGGTGTCTGTACGCGGTTTGGAATGGGTAGCTTTGCTGACGGCGATGTTGAGGGATTCTCGATGACGGCACCAAACTGCGCAAAGGCTGTAGGAGTGAGCAGCTCTATCGGTATGCGAATGGACGGGGCAGGCGTTGAAGGAGGCATATTGACGGCGGGGCGCCCAAGGAGCGGCAGACAGCTGCTGCGACGGGTCGGTGGAGTTGGGATGGAGATCGCGTGCGGGAGCTTGTCAAAGGGCGCTACTGAGGCGATAACGATAAGACCAGGTCGGGTCAGGTACCTTGGAGCGTCTGCATGTGATAATTGACGGTGCAGACGCCACGCTCACATGTTGCTTTTTGCTGTGGGCGTGAATCCGAGAATAAGGTGATTTGCTGTTCGATCGATGTGGATATTCATCACGCAAGTTACTGCGTAATTCACTGCAGGAGCAGGCTACTAGTATGGCCGTCTGGCTACACAGCCGTGAAGCTGGTTGCAGATCACGGCACCTCGCTTCGTTTGCTGCAGACACGATGAAATGCAGTCTGCGGGCAAAATAGTCTCTTGTCCTTCAATGCCCTTGTGCTGCTAAAGGATCGCAGATAGACTCGCATCAATCTCAGCTGCTGCATCCTTAACCCTCAGCTGGCGCAGCGAGGCTGATGTCACACAGCCAGGCAGGACCACTTACCCACGGCCCGCATTTTCCCCGAGCACTAGCGCGCATGCCCACGGATTTCTTTCTCGACAGCCGTCCGTCTCCCCAGCTACGCTCGTCACACGGTCACCCTTCAATTCTCTGGCGCGTGTTCCCTTTCCCCTTCTTGATCCACCCGTTGCCGCTGCGTGCGCCCAAAGTCTGCCCTTGGCCCCCAAGAGCCTCAGAAACTACGTCACCTTTTCAACCCCCCATAGCCACACCCGACGTGTTCCTGTCTTAGTCTTACCAACATCGCCAACACACCACACTCAGCTCAAGCCCTTGAGCCAGACTTCGCGACCACCAGCACCTTGCCCAACGCCCGCTTTTGGACGACTTCCTGTGACTTTGACTAGTTATCATGGCTGTTCCCACACAGTTGGCTTGTACGTAACCCCAACGAACAAAAGAAACACGGCGAGATTTTGTCTGTTGAAACACACTAACACTTTTGGCTTACAGACCGTTCCGCCAAGGGCATCGGGCTCTTCAATGCTGCTCCAGTCTACGAGCCGCTTCCAGGATTCGTGCGCCCAGAAGGCAACCTTCGTTGCTGCGCCTACTCGCCAGACAGCAAGTACTTCGCATGGGCTACACCTGACCAGTAAGCGCCACAAGACATCACATGCATCGCAGACAAGCACACTAGAATTGAGGATTGAAGATGACATGATGGAAAAGCGATTGAGGAGTCCCTCGAGGCACCAGCAATTCGTCATCCTTCAAAGCCACATCTGTGCGCTTGTGTGCGGCTGTCTGAATTGCACATATGGGCTAACTTTTGCAGGGTCTCTGTAATTGACGCTTCCGTCGGCCATATTGTTACCACACTCCCCACACCGAACGTCTACGAGCTCGGCTTCTCTCCATTGGGCACCTACCTCATCACATGGCAGCGGCCCTCCAAGGACGAGGACGGAAATGCGACAAAGAACCTCCGGGTCTGGAAGACGCTCTCCGACGAAGCCGAAGATGATGGGTCGCGGGCAGTGATTGGTGAATACGTCCAGAAGAACCAGAACGGCTGGAACCTACAGTACACATCCGACGAGAAGTTCTGTGCCCGCGTTGTGACAAACGAGGTGCAGTTCTTCCAGTCGAGTGATTTGCGCAACCCCTGGAACAAGCTCCGTGTAGAGGGAGTAACGGAAATGGCACTGTCGCCCGGCAAGAACCATTCAGTTGCAGTTTTTGTGCCGGAGCGCAAGGGTATGCCCGCTGCCGTCAAGGTGTTTGCGGTACCTCAATTCAGCCAGCCTGTATCGCAAAAGACCTTTTTCAAGGGTGACAAGGTCCAGCTCAAATGGAATGACCTTGGTACTAGCCTGATTGTCCTGGCACAGACTGAGGTTGACAAGACCAACAAGAGCTACTATGGAGAGACGAACATGTATATTCTTAGTGCCAACGGCACGTTCGATTCGCGCATCCAGTTGGATAAAGAGGGACCTATTCACGATGTCTCGTGGTCGCCCAACTCGAAAGAGTTTGGTGTTACCTACGGCTACATGCCTGCAAAGACGACCATTTTCAATCAGCGGGCAGTTCCCCAGCACAGCTTTGATTTGGGTCCACGCAACACCATTCTTTTCAGCCCCCATGGTCGTTTTGTCATTGTCGCTGGTTTCGGCAATCTTGCTGGAGACATGGATATTTATGATTTGGAGAAGAATTTTGCCAAGGTGTGCCACGTCAAGACATCTAACTGCACATACTGCGAGTGGAGTCCAGATGGCCAGCATATCCTCACTGCAACGACTAGTCCGCGCCTGCGTGTTGACAATGGCATCCGTATTTACCATGTCAGCGGCGGGCTCATGTACAACGAGGACATGAATGAGCTGTACCATGTTGTTTGGCGACCTCAGCCGACGTCGATGTACCCGCTGGCGGACCCCCTGACTGCTGTCCCGACGCCACACTCGTCAGCGCTGGCGTACCTCAGCACCCAAAAGACACCCTCGAAGCCCGCTGGTGCCTACCGTCCTCCTGGCGCGCGTGGAACAGCCACTCCATTGCACTTCAAGCGTGAGGATGAGGGAGGAGCAGCCTTCCACAACACGGGCGTTTCATCGACAAACGTTGGATTTGCCAATGGATTCGGCAAGCCGCGTCGCCGTGAGGTGCCTGGTGCAGACACTGCCGAGTCTCTTCCTCCTGGTGCTGCCCCCGGCGGTGGTGTCAGTCTTACCGGTGCTCAGGATGGTGACGGGGAACTTTCCAAGGCTGCTTTGAAGAACAAGAAGAAGCGCGAAGCTAAAAAGGCGCGTGAAGCTGCTGACAAGGCTGCTGGTCTGGGTGTCGACGGTGCCAATGGTTCTAATGGAGCCAATGACGGTCGTAGCCCAGAGCGTCGCCAACGCAGCCGCAGCAAGAGCGGATATGAGCAACACGGAAGGAGCGCTAGCCAAGCTCGCAATTATGGCAACAGCCCCAACCGTCAGGCTAGGCAAGAGGGCAATCGCCGACAGAACCCCGGTCAGCAGGGCGCTGGCCATGCTCCTCCAATCAAGACGGAAGGCCATGCTCCTCCGCCTGACCTCACTGTCACTAGCCCTGGAGACGGCGGCCCCCAGGACAAGAAGATTCGCGGCTTGCTCAAGAAGATGCGTGCCATTGAAGAATTGAAGATGAGGCAAGCAGGCGGAGAGAAGCTCGAGGACACGCAGATCAAGAAGATCAGTACCGAGGTTCAGATCAAGAAGGAGCTGGATGCTCTTGGCTATTCTGGCTAGAGGGGAGGTGGAGTACAACATGTGGGGAGGCGAGCAGTGCAAGGGGGAGAAGTGGTTGAGCAGAGGGGGTGATGTGGAGGTTAGTAGGCATGACGTGCGATGATAGAAAATGACGAAACTGTGCTGTTTTTGAAATGATGTTTTCGAAGACGAAAGACATGAGAACATAGGTGATGTGCTGCTTATGAATTTGTTGTGACGCAAAGAGGATGCAGGCCTTTGAGAATTGGACTTGATTCATGCTATCATAATTTCGTAGTCATTCATGCGTTTGAGATTCCGGGTAGATGGAGACTCGCAGTCCGGCTGTTGAGTCGCAGACATCTAGTGCGAGGCGTGTCCGCCCTGGGATCCCAACTCGGAAGCAAGCTCGCTGCCCTTCTTGAAGGTTCCATCGGGGTTGCGCTACAAGACAGTCAGTGATGAAGCTCTGTAGCAGTTCTCTGCTAACTTACACCAGAGTCCTTGTGAGTGTGGGAACCAGAGTCGCCAGAGCCATGAGAGGCATGGCCACCCTGTGCACCCAACTCCTTGGCGACCTCGGAGCCCTTTGTGAAGGTGCCGTCAGGGTTGCGGCCAGGGTGATCGTTGCTAGAGGACTGGAAGAGCAGTTAGTGAGTAGAACTTGAGCGGCAGGGACCCAAAGGATCAGCATACGTCGTTGTGGCTGGAGCCGTGAGAAGCATGGCCGCCCTTGGCAGCAATCTCCCTAAGCTCGTCCTTGGGCCGGTTGGCGAAGTTTGCGGGGTTGGAAGAGGCCATTTTGGAAGGTGTTGTGAAGTTGAGGTTGAAGTTGGGGGTGGGAGGTTGAAGTGATGGATGGAAGTGGTATGAGAAGAGAGGGAGACTTGGACGAGAGAGACAGCTGCTATATAGACACTGGTGCTTGTTTGTTCCTGTTGCTTTTGATACTTCAGGCGCCCTTCTGATTGCTTTCCCCACACAGCATCACGTCACAATTGCGGGTAGCAGGTTTGCAGACACAGGTGAGAGGGCCCAAAGCGGCAGCCCTCCCCACCATTGGCTACAAGTATTCTGGCACTGGTGTGCACTAGCCCAGAGACAGGCTCTCCATTTGCTCGCAGCTTTGGCTTGATGGCAGCCGGGCGTAGAGTAGACTGCCGCCTGTCCTATCCTCTGGTGGTGAGCTGAGGTGTGATGTCATTGCTCTCTGCACGGCGACGCGTCTCGCGCACTCACGTGCCGACGTGTCTCGCGACGGCCAATCAGAGCCGCAGTCGAGTCTTCGACGTCACCCAGGGTTACGCGACTGCCTGTCTGCGGCTGGGGAGTGAATTAAATTGGGATGCTTACATGCTAATCTTCGCCCCTTTACTCTCGTGATACCTTACACATAGCCCAAATCAAGTCATATAGCAGCAATGAGTCTAAAACGCAAAGCCGCCGCTGCAGCTACCGACGCGTCCAAGAAGACTAAGCAGAACGGCAGCATTACTGCCTTCTTCGGCCCACCTAAGACCGACCCCAATGCACCCCCCAAGCAGACAGCTGCAGCTGCAAAGTTTGACAAAGATGCCTGGGTTGCCAAACTCACCGATGAGCAGAAGGACCTGTTGCAGCTCGAGCTCGATACCATGCACGAGAGCTGGCTGCCGCATCTCAAGGATGTACTTGTAACGCCCCAGTTTCTGCAACTGAAGCGTTTCCTTAAACAGGAGCTGGCCAGCGGCAAGACGGTGTATCCACCAATGAAAGATGTTTACTCATGGTTCGTCTACCAATCCCTTGACGACCCCAGTTTTCAAGTCCAACATGCTGACAGGCAAGTATAGGTCGCGACACACACCGCTCAACACGGTCAAGGTAGTCATCACAGGCCAGGACCCTTACCACGGCCCTAACCAAGCCCATGGCCTCTGCTTCTCCATCCGACCGCCAAACCCTGCCCCACCCTCGCTTCAGAATATCTACAAAGCCCTCAAGAAGGAATACCCAGATTACCAGCCGCCGCCAAACAAGGGTGGATTGCTGATTCCATGGGCTGAGCGGGGCGTGTTGCTCATCAACACCTGCCTAACTGTTCGCAGAGGCGAAGCAAACTCGCATTCTGGCAAAGGCTGGGAACTGCTCATGCAAAAGGTCATTGATACCGTGGCCAAGGTGCGAACCAACGGTGTCGTTTTTCTGGCCTGGGGCACCCCGGCCCAACAGAGGACAAAGGGTATTCCAGTGGACAAGCATCTTGTTCTCAAGAGCGTGCACCCCAGCCCGCTGAGTGCAGCGAGGGGATTCGTAAGTCTCGCAACTAGTGATACATTGAGATGATTGTGCTAATCACAAGTAGTTTGACTGCGGGCATTTTACTAAATGCAATGAATGGCTTGTTCAGAGATATGGAAAGGGCGGGGGCATTGATTGGGATCTCAATGTTAAACCTGAAAAAGAGAAGGGAAAGGAAGAGAAGAAAGAAAACGAAAAGAAAGAGGAAAAAGAATAGGGATTGGATATCTGAACCACAACTCAGATAGGAAACTCGAAACACTGTGTCCTTGGATATACGGTTTTTTCTTTGGTAGCGTACAGTTTGGCGTTGGGTCAAAATGTTTCTTGGGAGCGTATGTATGCGTCTTTTGAATTTGGGCGAAAGATTCTATGTGTATAGTCCTATGAAAGCAAACTACGAAGCCTCATTGTATCTTTCCTTTGCATGTCTTTACTGCTTCAACTCCCCTTCCCGCCTCGCAACCCAAAACAGCCCCCTCTCCACCATCCCACTAAACCACTCATCCTCATAGGCCTCATCAAAATGCCCCAACGCTGTAAAAAACACCCTCCCCTCCTCAAACTCCTGACACCACACCAACGGATGATCCTCCCCATGCATCCCTCCCGAAAATGTCTTCGTATCCCCCCTCAGCAAAACCTCCAACCCTGCATTCTCCCTCGGATGCTCATGGAAATTATACCACTCATCTTTCCACCCTTGTCGGCCCCCACAGCCACTCAGTATAAAATGCTCGTCGGCTTTTTCGGAATCCAGCACCAGAGACCCGATTTCCGGGTCTGGATGCGAAAGAAACTTCGCACCGATCATCTTCTCCCACCACCCATCCTCCGGCATACCCGCCGCCGCACCGTGGATAGCTACTACACCGCCGCCTTGCTGCATCCAGTCTCTAAACGCGGAGATTTGGGGGTCGGAAAGCAGGGCGGGACCGAGGGTTTGGAGGAGGATGACTGCGCGGTAGCGGGAGAGGGTTGATGGGGTGAAGATGCTCGAGTCTTCGGTTGTGGTTAGGGAGATGTGCGGGTGCTGGGCGGAGAGGCGCTGGAAGAGGGCGATGCCAGAGGGGATGGAGGTGTGGCGGTAGGAGGTTGTTTTTGTGAAGATGAAGATGGGGAAGGGCGTGGGTGCTGGGGCTAGGGCGGCCATTTTGAGGGATGGGGAAGGGGTGATGGTGGAGGGAAGGGCATAGTGGAGGGAAGCATTTGAGGGACTTGAGGAGTGTATTAGGCTGAACGGCTTTTCAGGAGGTTTATAACTGACGTCATTTATACCGGTGGGAGTTTGTGTACTGATTCTGGGGCGAATCCTAGGTGTTGAGTTGTTCGAACGTTTCGTTGTTCTGAGCCAAGGACATATTGGTTCTACTTTACACTCTTTGGTCTTTGGAGGTGTATAATTAGGTACTAGACTTGAAAGAACGCTATATTTCCATTGTGAGGGATAGGGTATCATGCAAAGTATTCAGCACGCTGTACGTGACTTCTCATCTGAGGTTAGTCTTAGATTGAAGGAAGAGTGTATCACTAACTATCCCGATTATTGTTGTCATATTACATTTTTGAGGCATATATATATATACCTTCGAACCGAAATCGGGAAATTTTCGATTCGGAGATGAGGACATATAGTAGTAAAGAGATTCTTGCCTACCTCGCACTATCTGATGAGAGAGTGTATGATATAAGGCAGTTTCAAGTGTAGGTGAGCTCCACAGCCTAGAAATGCATCGTTTAAAAGTTTAATTTGATTATACTAGGGAAAATCCTTTACGCACAACTACTGATTGCTGAGCTCAGCCACGCCATCATCAACGCGGGGGAGCCGGAGGAATGGAGATTCACGCTAGTGCTCCACCCGATCGATAGCGTCATTACTTCGTGTGGGGTCATTACTATCCGCGGGGAATAACTCTCCTCGCAGCAACTATATGGCATTGCAAAACCCAAAAGCCTTCACAAAATGACTTCGCAACTTCTTCAAGTCCCACGAGAGATTCGAGATATCATTTATGAATATGTACTTGTGCGCAACATCATACACGTCGAACGGGCTGCGGCTACTGTTCCCGAAACCACGGCAAAGCAAAGTCCTGAATTCTATAGACAACTCACGCAATCGTACCCCTTGACACACACACGCTCCCATCGCCGAGTTTGGGCAATACCGCGATTTGATCTTGGTCTGCCGTCTTTTAAAGACGATCCAGAACTCCCTCCAAGCCATGTTCAGATGACGTATCAAATCACACGCCAATGCAATTTACCCTTCGGACACCGAATCGGCATCCGTCTGCTCCAAACTTGTCAACAAATCTATCGCGAGGCCAGAGAGATATTTTACAGCAAAAACGTATTCAGTTTCAGGACAGTAGAGTGCATCCCAACTGCATTCGCATTCCTCTGCGACCGGCCTGCAGAGTCGCTCAGGCTTATCTCGTCCATGGAAATTACCTTAGGAGAGGGAACGAATTTGAGAGGCACAACTGAAGCCCACTATCCCGTAGTCGCCAGGTCCACAGATTCGGTGGTACTGCGGTACGTTTACAACCACTTTACCAACCTGTGTACCTTGCTCTCAACTTCGCGCATGCAGTTGCGGAAGCTTACCCTTGTTATCGACAGCTTACATCAGTTCTATAGGCCCGTGTTCCCTTCGCCTACAGATTGTATCAAATGGGAAACACAAAGGATGAGTGGTCCACGTCCATGGGTGGCTCCCTGGGTTGAACCGCTGTTCAAAGTAGAGAACCTCGAGTGCTTGGAAATACATTGGATTCTCGATCGACCCGAGATTTGCAGAATGGCAGACACGCTCTCACTGATGAAAGAGCAAATGCTTGCGCCAAAAGGCTCTCGGCGACGCGGTCGGTCCGACTGTTTCTGCGATCCCAGGTTTAACTTCCGGATCAACTACCAGGTCATCACGCAGGAACGAACGTCCATCTGTTGCGAGCTGTCTCGAGACGACCTGCTTCATAGCGATGAGAGCGACGGTAACGACAGCGAACACAGTAGGAAGCTACGATCGAGTGAAGAAAAGCTGACTGCGGCATGGCGGCAACACATGCAACGTATTTTTGAGGCTTCCGGCTGTCTATAGGCCTGTCAATAGTCGACGTATACATATGGTAGTTACCGGAAAAAGTTGAGAACAATGATAAGGCTCTACTTCGGATAACTCTATCCCTAATTTGTTAGAGGTCAATACCAGACTGTTCTTACTAGTAACCTTACCGGAAGCTAGTACATTATATATAGTATAGTTCTTGTGTACTCTACTCAGCCCGTGTCACACCTTCACTAGCAGCCCGCATACAAATTCCTGACCGTCCACCACGGTATAAGAACGAGGGACGGAAACTTATTATTAAAACGAGACTCGATTCACACAAGAGCAGCACAGAGAAGCATATCAATGTTTCTCTTTAATCCCCGGTGGTTGGTGTGGGGTTAGGCCATCCCTGTTATCCGGAAGGATTCCCGAAACATACCAAAAAAGACATCAAGACCGTGTGGTGTAACACATAATGAGCAGGGGAGCATGCTAAGTCCGATGCTGCGTCAGTGTCGCCATTTAGTGCAACGCCAACCCTGCATACTGTTGATTCGCAAGCGGCTACATGACCCACGCAGCAGCCACCAACTTTCACCTAAACTGCTCTGAATCCATTCGCTGTGCCGCATCCCGTTGTATCTCCACACGACCCGGGGGCCTCACATACTCTATCCTCCTCCTCTCTCTCTGCAACCTGACGAACCCACCAGCAGATGACGACGATCCGGTGAAGGCTATCTCGTACGTTTCGTTATCGTTCAAGACGTGGCTGGATTTCCGGTGTCACGCACAGTCTCAGTCTCTCTCTATCAAAATGATTGGGACATCTGCTTTCTCCGCTCTAGGAGAGCTTGTGCAGAGCAAAACAATCATTGCATCCCTCGCGCTGGCCACACACTACGTTCTCCATACCTTCGAATGGGACACCAGATTCCACCTGATCCTATACGCGTGGGCTCTAGGTCTCGGGAGTGTTGCAGCCATCACATTCATGACCGGCCAGCATGCCGGGGCAATAGTGGCCACAGCTCAGATCACAGCCACGGTAGCATCGCTCTATTTCAGCGTTTTGTTTACCAGCATCTTGCTGCATCGTGGATTCTTCCATCGTCTTCGAAAGGTATGTCAGAGCGCACTGAAAGAAGCTTTCCTTATTATCTTGATCGTCGTCCTTGGTACTAATAGTCCTAGTTCCCAGGGCCTATTGGGTCACGGTTCTCCAAGTCATACGCAATCTACGCTGGAGTTTTCCCCACTCGATTCCGACATTTTGAGTATCAGCGGCAACTGCACCAAAAGTATAAGTCAGATGTAATTCGGACTGGTCCAAGAGAGGTCACGGTTTATTGCGCTGACGCTATTCCACTCATCCATGGACCGGCATCTACATGTAGAAAGCCTCTCTCCGTATATGGAGTCTTTAGGGAAGCCACTGGTATCTCGCTCCAGACAACAACAGATAAGGAGAAACACCGTCAGCAGCGCAGGGTCTGGGACCGCGCCTTCAACGCCAAGGCTCTGCGCGACTACGAGCCTCGCCTCAATCGACATGCGGCTACTCTTGTATCAAGACTGAAAGAGCAATCATCAAAAGGTCCAGTACGAATTAACAAATGGCTGAACTTTTACAGCTTCGATGTCATGGGAGACATGGCATTCAGTCGCAGCTTTGGTTTGATCGAAAAGGGCGAAGAAACTGATTTCATCAAGTTGCTTCATGAGGGTATGGATCCGATCAGCGTTTTTGCCCATGTCCCTTGGTCCTTGAATCTCGCAGTGCGAGCAGGCGCCGGTGCTAAGGCGCTAGTTGAGCATTCGGAATGGAGTCGTAGGGTCCTTGAGGAAAGAGTCAAGGTAAAGGAGCCAGTTTACTACCCAGAGGTCTCAGGCGGCTGATAATGACTAGAATCCACCAAAAGAGAATGATGTTTTCTCGTGGGTGCTCGGCGATGATAATCGAGTCACACCTAATATGGTCGCTAATTCTCACCTTTTGGTTGTAGCTGGCAGGTATGTGCAAACCAAATGCGATCCACCAACTGGCATAGAAAGACTTGCCACATACACGATACGCTACGTTAGGTTAAGAGGTATCTCCATGTGTTCAGAGCTGACATCATGACAGCGATACAGTAGCGGCAACACTGGCCATGCTCGCCTACGAACTCTGCGCGAAGCCACATATCCAAGCCAAGCTACGCAATGAAATCGATGCAGTCCATCCAGGGAAAACTCACCTCGACTGCAGCGATGTTACAGATTGTGAATATCTCAACGGCGTCATCCAGGAAGCACTGCGACTGCACCCGGCAGTCCCCTCTGGCGCTGCACGCGAAACACCACCCGAGGGTCTTACCCTCCCCAACGGAACATACATACCCGGCAACGTAATCATATGGACACCCGTCTACACCATTCAGCGTGACCCCCGCTATTGGGAGAAGCCCCTGGCCTTCATGCCCGAACGCTGGACTTCTCAAAACTCCAACGCCATCATCGACAAGCGCGCGTTTATGACATTCCTTTCCGGGCCCTACAGCTGCATAGGACAGAAGCTGGCGATGATGGAATTGCGGAGCGTTGTAGCAAACTTGGTGCGGTCGTTTGAGATTACGTTTGCTGAAGGCGATGATGGGAGTGAGATTGGGAGTAGGAGCCGTGACTGCTTCACTATGAAGGTGGGAGATTTGGATGTTAAGCTTACGCCTAGGCAATCGTGATCATGAGGATAAAGTGGGGTCTGAGGTCACATAGGGTCCTTGAATTTCCCTTTTATTATTTTGTGGAATTTTAGCAAGCCCGTAATCGGCAAAGGCCACCTGAGAGTGACGATGACATTGATTAAATTAAGTAGGTCATGGCAACTATTCGAGTTGCATATCTTACCATTTTGGATATTGATGTATGGGGGTAAGACCAATGTATAGCACATCGGCAGAAAATATATCTTGAAAAGGTTTTCACAGTATGTACTCTATCTCATCCTGCCCACATGTATTGTAAACAAAAACTCTCCCTTCGCCATTCTAGCATGAACGTGCCCTTTTGATCTACGACTTTTCTCCCTTGTTGCATGCGACAAGTGTAGTGCATAGCCTCGTGAACAAGGGTTTCTTCATGCCATGTCCGGGGTACACAAGATGAGGGATTAAGGGAGGCTGGAATGCTGTTTATGGTGTTTGATGAATCATGGGTGGGTTTGGACGATGTTTTGGCGGACAGTGTTTCTGGAGGACTCGGGTGACTACACAACCTCTGAAACTTTGATCGTGGAGTTGATAGCTTTTCTCTTCTTGACTTGGAGACTATATGGCATACATGTTGAGCTTCGTAGCGAGCGGTGTTCAGAATGGGCGTTTCTGTCTGCATTGCCAATCTTCTTCACACATACGTGCAGCATCGGATTCGCCTATAATAAAACAATAAGCAATTTTCTCGGCTTAGAAAAGAATGCATGGTAAGCCGCATATAGTGGTTTTCTTTGTTCGCGCCTTGGATGAACAAGAGTCCGGTGTCCTGTCCATATAACCCTTCCGACGCAACCCGAGATCGAGTAGAGAAGAAATATGAAATAGGCGTTCAGCCGCTTCGCTGCCAATATATCGATTGCCAGCCATTGTACAAAATTAGTGATTAGCATCGCTATTGATAAAATATGCTTGATACACGGCAAGATACTTGCCACAATGTTGCAATTTCAAAATGAAGCGAGCAAAGACTGTTGTGGTATTGTACATATCCGCCGCATCCCGCTTGACCCTCACCTTGTGTTATGCCATCTGTCGACCGCTCTCTCCCATGTGCATTCTCTCTCGATGTATTTGACCGCATGTCCGTCAATCGCTCGGGATATCAAAAAAGTACGTATTTATCGCTTTTTCGCATCGACCTTCTCCTCGAGGGTGCGGACGTAGCCCTCTATCCGTTGTACGGCCGACTGGAGAGCCTGTTTCCATGTCAGCCACTGTCCAGTTGCTTTATCTCATCCCCAGATGCCTGCGACTTGAACAAATGCGCATTTTTCGGGCACCAAAAAGAGTACTGACGTACGTAAATGTCTTCGGTGAGGAGCTGGTTGGAAACGCGGTATTCGTCAATAACATAATAGTACATGCCTGCACCAGATGTGGTCGCACCGAGGAGGAAGCCGAAGAGTCTGTATCGTGTTAGTCGTGTCTCTTGCTTTTCGCCATGCCGCCTAACGTCTCCGAATTGTTCTTCCCCCCACTCCAACGACGCCCAACATTTTGTTTGCCAGACCGGGCCGCTATCAGTGGAGCAACTCACCCTCCGCGAAAAGCACCGACGGGCTTCTTGACTGGCGCAGCGACTGCGTCCTGCCTGAGGACAGCGCTGGTCTGGAATGCGCGCGATGCTACCGCCATGGGAGGTCGGCATCCCGCTCCAGCGCGGGCCGCCTGCCTCAAAAGCTGAGCAGCCATTGTGTTTCTTTTGTGCTCCTTTCGGTTGTTTCGTGGCTGGCCTTGGAATTGCCTGGTATGTGGGTATATGGCGACAGTGTAGAGGGCGGGGTGGATATCGCTCGTGTGCCCGGTTGGTGACGTTTGGGTGAGCTCTCCGCACCCTACAAACAAGCAAGCTCTCTCGTCGCTCGCCTGACATGGACCCTTCCTTGGCCGCTGATTGGCTGACTCAGCATCACGCCCCGCCAGTCTCGATTGAGTGGACTATGTCTGCTGCTGCAGTTGATAAAATCACATGGCGGCTCGTCCAAGATTTGAATACCTATCCTGGAAGCCAGGTATGATGCAACCCATACAGCTGTGCTGATCCCTTTGGCGCAGCTGCTGCACTGCCTCAGTCTAGGCGCCTTGCTTCTGACTGCTTTTTGGGCGCACGGCCACCATGCAGGAGGCTGTTCGCAGTAGGGAATGGAGATCAGGAGTAAGACTCGTGAGCCGGTCGTAATGGTCGCCGCAGATTTAGACACTAGTCACTTCACAAAAGAAAAAGAACTTGTACAAGAGCCCCTGGGGCAGGAGTTACACACTAAGCCGCTGGGTGCCCAACACAGGCCAGTATATATTATGAACTATATCAAAGATTATACATGGTAAGGGTATTACAAATTCTTATAAGCGCACTGGACGCCCACCTAAGGGAATATGTCTCGGCTAAGAGGCAGCGTCTGGGTACAGTCTACCATCTTAGCCAACTGCTCCTGCTTGACCCCGAACAGGCTCACCTTGATGTAAGCTCGAGCATAGTCTGCGTTCCACCCGCCCTGGTTTCCGACAAATCTGCGCCAATCGCCACTAGTCTTGGGGTGTTGGGACAGCGCTTTGTCGCTGGGAAGGACAAAGACTTTTTGCTCAGCCGTAGCACCAATAGGGTTGTTGAGCGTATCATTGTAGAACTCCACATCCCACACACCAGGAGTAGAGTCGAGGGGCTTGTTGACCGCTGCCGATGACGTATCGACGAAGCGCTGACGCGCTGTTGCGTGAGCACCCACCAAAGCTGCCAGCTCGCGTTCAGAAATGCCCTTTCTCTTGAACAAAGCAATCAGGTTGTCAGGGTTGTCATGAGTGTCTGGCAGAAGGCCCTTCGGATTGGCCTTGGTGGCATCCAACCGTCCAACAAAGGTACGCACACGCGGTCCTTTCGGACAGGAGACGGTGGCGTGGTTATGGGCGTATTGCACAAGATCGGCAGCTCCCACCTTGTACTTGTCTCGCACCCCGCGTAGCAGTGTGCGTACATTTTGAAGACCATTGTTTTCGCGACGGTCATGCTCGCCAAAATCCATAATCAGCGATCCATCAGCACCGCCATGGCTGGAGCTCTGGTCCCAGGACCCTGCATCATGGAAACCCATGCGGACGGCTGCTCGAGCATTGTCGTTGCACTGCTTGTCTTTCCCAACAAAAAGCTTGGTTAGCTCTGCAGAAACATCGTACCCTAGTGTCTGTCAGCCTGTAATGCACCAAAGACATGCTTTGGTCAACTTACACACGCAGCATTTGTCTTTGCTCTGATCACATTTGGAAGGCTTTGGTGTCTGATTGTTGTCGGTAGCAGGCTTGCCGCCGCCAATAATGTCTTGAACAAGTTGCTCGATTTCGTTGAAGCTGCCACCGAGATCGGCTTCAAGTATATCCAGTAGCGCCTCCCGCTGTTGCAAGGGCCCTGCTGATGCAAAGAGTGAAAGCCCGAGAAGGGAAAACGTCAGAGCTGCCTTGAAAACCATGTGGACTGAATAGCAGTGTATATGATATATTTATAACAGTAATGGATGAGTAACGGAATGAAGCAAGAGACAAGCAATCAAAGACGAGATCGACGGGCTAGGGAACAAACACAAGACCGCATGTAGGAGGGACCCTTATATGTCTCTTTGGCGTGCCAACGGGGGTGAAGTGCCATTGCTCAAAAGGCGTCATCGTATCTGGACGGGCTTAGCACAGCAGCAAAAAACCAAAGACGTTCCTGAAATGGCAAAAATAGTTGCCAAATAGGAGTGATCCCTGCATACGCGAGACAAGTCACTGCCTCCGGCAAAAGGATATCGGGAAAAGACAGCCAACAAACTCTTAGCTGCAAGCCCTTGCAGCTGTGTAAGTCCGAGCGCAGCCTCGACATGTTTGGACAGATTCGGATGCGGACCGCTGGCACGAGGCGATAGCGGGTGAAGGAGCATCTAGAACCAGAAGCGGGATGCCAAGCCTGTCGAATGATAGCCTGGCGACATGGAGAGCATTCAATCGCTGAACAGGGCATAGAGAATAGTCATCAGACGCATTCCCAGAACAGCAGTGTGCTTTCTACTGTGCAATGTAGGGATGCTGTCAACCAAACGCCAGCATGAACAACTGATCATTGCTAAGTCTGCTAGCGGCTGGCTGGCCAGTTCTTGGCTTCCGGATACGCAGTGTAGATCTACAGTGTCGAGGGTCCAGAGCTTGCAGTAGTTTCGTGTCTTGTCGCGACATTGCATGGTGGCGTTTATCAGCATGCCTAAACTGGCGGCCAGGCAGGCATCTTGTTTGGCATGTCAAAACTCAATACAGTCGGCATGCAGATCTGGGGCCTGAGGCAGAAGGCCGACAAACAAAGCCTGGTGCCAAACGCGCACGGACGGGGGTTATGGCCTGGAGATGGGAATCAAGCACTGGTTTGTTCTTCGAACGCGGTGGTGCTGAAACCATGGGCACATGTCCTGACTGTCATCAAGGCGTAGCTAGCCCCGTAGGGTTGGGGGTAGCTCGAGTGGTCTGGCTGTGTTCTGCGCGATGGTCTTATTTGAGACGCGCCCATGGTGTTGATGTGCATTCTGGCCAACATGGGAATGCAGTCGGCCTGTGGATTGGCGGAGAGCCGGAGCGGAATGGTAAATAGATAGGAGGGACACATGCTTTGCCTCGGCCCCTTTGATGCCAAATCGGAACTTTTTCTTTGGCGAAGGCCTGGGATCGGCGACCAGCATTTCTACTTAGTCGCTCTGCCTAGCGATAGCCATGGTCCGATGGGTACGTGTACAAGTATGTCCAGTCACGTGCAAGTCACCAGCGGAATCCTAAAAGGGCAAGAGGGACATGGTATGAGGCTTGACGCGCAACGTGGTAGCATACGACCACAGCCACCAGGGTGGCGGATGCGCAGTGAGTGGGAGCAGACGTCTTTGGGGGTCGCATTGTGTGTACTCTCGTGTTCAGCGTCTTGAAGTCGCTGTCTGGTGCGAGTTGCCAAGAGTCAGTCCCGGGGGAGCGGAGGGCGGGGTAGAGGGCATGAGCATGGCTGATGCGTACGCAAGTAAGTACACATGAGGACGACGCAGCCAGCCGTAACGTAGGGATGCTGATACTGATGCTGCTGCTGCTGCTGTTTATCGCAAGCGATGGACGTGTTGAAGACGAGCAAGTGAGGTGTGGAGACCAAGGAAAAAGACGGCGGCGGGCAGCGGGCGTGTTGGTGAGTGTGTGGCTGGTGCAGGCCCGACCAGGGCGCGGAGTGGTTCAGGGGAGACACGGGAGGTTTGATATGTCTTGGCAGGCGTGGGCAAACCGGAGGCGATTTCCCGGCCACTTGCACCCCAATGCAGCGACTCGATGCCAACTTTCGTGCATTTTGATTTCGTCTCCACGCTCTTGACCCCATAACGCGCCTTTTTTTGCTCAAAGCGAGATCCCCTCGCCCCACCGTCCCATCGCCACAATTTCATCCGCGTCATGCACCCTGATGTCGCCCCCAGACTCGTCTGGCAGCAGCCTTCCCAAGCGGCGCCGCACAGTCGAAGGCTCCTGCTGGCCCTGCAAGCAGAGGCGCGTCAAGTGTGACCTCCAGAAGCCATGCTGCCGCCGCTGCATCAATTCAGATACCCAAGACTGCAGCTATGACAAAGTCCTGCTGCGCTGGAAGAAGCGCCCTGCCAAGCCAGTGCCCCAACCCCAGCCGCGCCTATCTCGAGAGTACTCGTTCAACGGCCTCGACGTGGCTCTGAATGAGCGCAAGGCTATTGACTACTTCCGAGCCCGCATATGGCCACTCTTCTCCACTCTTCCCGAGCCATGTCCCGCTCCAGTTGCACTCGCCTTGCGCTCTCAGCCAGTCCTCCAGGCCTTGTGTGTCTTTGCCGAAGAGCACCGTGCCTTGCAAGCAAAAGAATCTCCTAAGCCCTCTCTCAGCAAAAGGCGTCTGCAATGTCTGGCCGCCATCCGTACCCATCTGGGTGGCGCCGCCCCCGAAGGCAATGCTCTCTCTGCCCTCCTCGTGGCAGTTCTCCTGCTCTACTTCCTCGAAGGCTATGTCAACTGCACAAATGACGGTGCATCCACCCATTGCCACTTTGCAGGACTCTTGGCCATCATCAACGCCCTCGGCGGCTTCCAAGCAGCATGGACCTCATCCGACCGGGTGACTAGGATGCTTTTGTCCGAAATGGCATCTACCGATCTAACCGATGCTTTGCTGCAGGATAGGCCCCCCTCGTTCCCAGCTACAATCTGGAGCTTTATGGAGCCTGCTTCTGTCTGGTGGGACACTGTCCCCGGAAGCAGGACTCTTGGCTCCGTTTTCTCCACCATGGCCGAGATGAGCTTCTACCGCCATCAAGTTCAAAATGGGGCAGACTTTTGCATGGACCAAGCACAGGCCTTTGAGCGCGCTCTTCAACCTACATATCCTACTCTCGACAACCTCACCGAATCTCGGACCAGCGAGCTTGCTACCAAAACATTGGCCCAACTGACAGTGGAAGCATCACTTTCATTGATAATAGCATTTCAACATGCAGCTCTCATCTATCTCTACAGTGCCCTCCACAACATTCCGGCCAAGCACTACCTTGTGCAGCAGCATGTAAAGGCTTGCTTGGATTGTATACAGAGTATGGACCCGAGAACCAAGGCCCAAAACTGTGCTCTTTTCCCTCTATATGTAGCTGGCGCCCATTCGCTTGATGGGTCACAAAGAACGTATGTTTCCCAGACACTGGAGACCATTAACAAAACTCTACAATTCGAGTCTGTTGCGTCCGTGTTAGCAACTCTGGACATGCTGTGGCAGTCATCTCATAGCCCTACTGGTTGGGTTGATAGTTTCAAGGACACGGCAACATGTACTTTAGTTATATGATGACCTTTCTTTATCACTTGATACCGTGTATTTAGAAGTCGTCTTTGCGTCGTATAGCTTCAAGAAATGACATGTATGCCCGTTCAAAATTCTAGCGTATTCGAGCGATACATGTCACATCTGTGAAACCTTCTCCTATCGGAAAAAAAACCCAGTTATAGTGTTCAAGTACGACAAATGACGGAAACATGTCTTTCCCAGCGGCACGTAGAAGGTTACTACGTATACCCTATGACGTTATCTGTTACATAGCTTTGGCGCAATGCCCAAGGAGTGAGATGGGGCTGCGGTTATATAACACTGTTGGTGAATTAACACCAAGAAACCGTAGGCCCTAGAAGAAAAGGCTTACATGAGAAACAATCAACTATAAACACTGCTATGGCAGTCTCTTGCGTATACAATGAAATGGAGAGAGGTCTGATTGTCCTAAAGAGGGAACATTTGCGAGTAGCAAAAGATAAGTCGGGAACTTACCCGACAAAATCCAAAATGCCAGAATCAGGACTGCACTTAAACGACGAAAAAGCTCACCGAAACCACAATAAGCGCCTTAAGATACACGATTGCGTTGGGCTAATATCAGATCCATTGGATTTATATGGGTTAATATTCTTCTACGGATCAGTCATCTTGAAGATCATGTCATCTTTGCTGTGAATGCTGGCAATGTTTCTCCCAGAGTTCAAATTGAATAGAGGGCGATTACACAGTAGGCTTACATAGCTGCAAATATGGGTGATACAACTACCAGTACTTCGTATGGATCGCGAGGGAGCCACCGGAGCTGACAGTGTGACACGAACGACCATCATGCAACAGCACAGACGCCTTCTCAGCTCCACCTTCCACAATGAGTCCTATCAATCATCGCCTGCGGGCAGCTAACCTCTCTAAAATCTACACTGGGATTATCCGCATTCTTGAACCAGTCAAACCTCCAGAAGCAGCCATCGCGGAAAGCTCCGGCAGGAAGGTTGTAGCAGTGGTCTCGCTGCCAATAACCCCCGAACGTATTGCCCATCCAGGCGCCATTGAATTGTTTCGCACAACCTTGAGGGAAAATTCCGACTCCACCGCCGGGAATCGCAAGATCGAACTGGTTCTCCTTCAAGTCGGCGCCCGTATTGGTTACCTGCACCACCATTTTCTTACCGTAGACGGGACCCGAGGTAAACGTAAGTCTGCAACTAAATCAGCTTCTAATTAGATTGATCAAGTTCTGCCTTGACATACTCGTAGCAAGCACAGCACCAGTCCCCCTCATTCTTTCCCTTCAGATTCGCCGCCGCGAAGCCGTATGCCAAGTTATCATTCACGGCCCACGGCCCGTTGTTGCTACAAGTGTAGGCTTCGCCATTGCCACATGCAGTGGCTGCATTTGCGTCTAGGGGGATCGGCCACAGGTCTTGTTTGTTGCAGGTACGAACTGGCTCCGACACTCTTGCTTTGCCGGGCCAAGCGCATGACGGTTTGCAACAATCCCAGTACCGAGTCGTTACACCTGATTCGCCAGAGACGTGGTGAAGAAGGAGGGAGAAAGCGAACGATAAGCGTGCTAGAGTCAAAAGCATGGTAGAAGATCGGGTTAGCGAGTCAAGTGGATTTGAGGCAAGGTTCTGTGCATTTTAGTCGATGGATCTTTAGATGTCTTATAAGTAAACTGGCAAACGCCCTCAAAAAAACACGAGCGCGCACTCAGCTGAATATTGCAGCGTGACATATGGGGCTCGCTATAGTGCTACATAAGCACTAAGAAGGCCTTTTCAGCTCGACCCAATGTCGTGGGTATCAATTCATGTGCTGTATTTCAGCTTCTCATGTTACATCTCTGAAAGAAAAGAGTAATTTCTTAAGGTCAGCAATTCCCGAATGAGGAAGCTCGTTGTTCACGGTTACATTGTGAGCTGCACCAAAATCGCGAAGATCGTACCGACCCACTCTTATTTCACTGATTAAACTATGGTGGTGTTCAAGCTGAACTGTAGATTGCGTTAGTGATGTACAAATTAATTAATATCAATAACACTATGGTATTCATATGCTAAGCACAACCCATCTCAGGTGAGACTGTTGTGTACTGAGATTACTTCCTTCAGCAATTCATGCAATGGAAAGCGCTTTGCAAAGGGTCATGTGTTCGGAATCAGCGACTGTATGGGTCCGTTATTTTTATACTTTCCAGGTGCTTTCCATCGCAACTATTGCTCAAACGAATAGCAATTCGGTGCGCTTTGAAAGAAGTTCAGGGAAACCTCACAGCAAACTAGACGACGATGATTTTATTGGATGAAGGAGTTGGAAAGCTAGCACTGCCAGCTTTCGATCTACATACACGTGTTGGAGAACAAGATTTCGTGCTCAAGGACGGTACTAAATGGATTTCGAGTCTGTGTTTGACCCGTTGAACTCACCCGCCGTCGCCAAACCAATAGATCCCGTCTGCGTAGTGGCAAGAAATTTATATACACCGCGAGCTGAACTATCAACCTCGGCCATCTGGTAACAAAATGTAACTTGTTGTTTGGTCCTCTCGATAGTCATTTTCAATAGCCCCATGACACCTATGGGAGATATGGTCGGCGGCTTGACTTTTGGTCATTTTATACGGGTGCAGCCCTTAGATTTGGTTTTGAAGCGAGCAAAGAGTTCCTTTATGTAGAAGAATGGATGCATTGGTGACGGATGCTCGAATGATCTAGTTCATTGTAGTGCGGAGGAGCTTTTTAACTGAGTAGTCGGGAAAGTTGCATGTAAACTTGATGGCTTTGAAGTCCCCCATAGAGATCCAACCCACAGGACATATTCATTGTCGCTTGGGCCGTCCGTTTTCATCCGGTTATCAAACCATCATCACAGATCCAAGTCGCTGTCATAAACAGCTTGCGATGATGAATTTTTTTAAATCGAAATCTTGTGTTTTGATTTCAGCGTAGGCGTAGACGTAGGCTTCGGTTTAGCATCGGCGAAGTTGATCCTTCGTGAGCAAAGCTGAAAAACTCAGCCTCAGCATTGCCAACACCAGCACGATTAGTGCATGACATGGCTCAGCTCCATGACCTACCAGATTATGCAGCATCCAGAAACAACAGCAGCTGGGAGTACATCTGACGCCCCGGGTAGCTGTGTTTCGAGGTAGGTAAGGGCGTGAATTGAGCGGTTAGCATCACTACAGTGCCGAAGATAGTCAGTACCGATGGTGGTTTCAGGCCGAACCTCATGCTCTGGTCCACGAAAATGAACTCCGTTTCGGAGATATATCTACACAAGAAACACAAATTCATGCCTGGTATCTAGTGTTTGATGGGTGATGTCAAGGCTCACGTGCAGTCGCGTCACGACGTGTAAGCAGCGTGTTGTAGTAGCGCCTGTTAACTCCGGTCTCTACGTAATGTTTATCTCCGCAAAAGAGCCGCCACCCAGCAAGCATCCCTCCAAGTACTTGCATCTCTTATGCTTGTAGCCTCTGCCACACGACTGAACACACGCTACGACCTCGAAATACGGACAAGGTATCGACCGCCATGGTCTTCGGTTTCGAGCGCATCAATGAGCGCACTCAACGCCCCAACGCCCACATCAACTTCATACGCACGCTTCCTGGCCCGACAGCCGCTACTGCCGAGAACATCCTGAACCATGTCGCAGCCATATGCTATCCCTTTATGAAGTCACACATGATCCTTGTCCAGGCGCTTGAGGAATTCCCGTACAACAACGAGTTTGTTGGTCGCAACTTCAATGCGGGCGAGGTCATACAGCTGGTGTTGAGGGATCGCAATGGAAGATGGCTACCCCAGAGAATGATTGAAATGGTCATGGTGCATGAGCTTGCCCATTGTAAGCAGATGAACCACTCAAAGACCTTCTGGAAGGTGCGCGATGCATACGCAGTAGAGTTGAGGGCACTATGGGCAAGAGGTTACACTGGTCAAGGGTTATGGGGTAGGGGCAGGGAGCTTGACACTGGCGCAGTGCAGGCTAGCGAGGCAGACCATGTAGATGTCCCTGAACATCTTTGTGGAGGCACTTATGCTCGAAAGGGCGGGAAGAGGAAGCGTAGCGCAAAGGAGAAGCCGGCATTAACGTATGCGGAAAGAAAGCAGAGGAGGATCCTCAAGAAATTTGGCGCAGGAGGGCAGGCTCTAGGCGCGGATGAAGATACCAAGGTGAAGCTGGAGAATGGAGAAGAGAAAAAGGGCAAACCGAGAGTTGCAGGAAGCGCGCGTGGCCGAGATTTAAGGGCAGCAGCGGCATTAGCACGCTTCGACACCGCAAAGAAAGGCGAAACCACAGTTAAAAAGGAAGAACCAATGTCGGACAGCGATACCGAAGATGAATTCATCGAGGGTGACCAGGATGGTGCAGCAATCGACGTGGATGGCAAGAGCATGCTCGACGATAAAGGTCGCGCGCTCGTCAAGGTCTGCGAAGACGATGATGACGACAAAGATGGCGATGCAAAAAGGGAATTGGTCGAGATACAAGGCTTTGCCGCCTCGCGCAAAGGATCCAACGCGCTGCCAGTGTCGAACAACGTTTCACGCAACCAACGACCATCAAAACAGTCCACGAAAAGTGCTCCATCGACCGTTATAACCAAACCTAATCCCGCCTCAACAAAAGGTGCCTCGTCATCAGACATCTCATCCACACAGCTCAATAAGCGCAACCCCGAACCTTCACGACCCGCACCTGGCCAGCCCCGCAGTTCATCACCATCTTTCTCATGTGTGTGCCCCATCTGTTCTCTTGAAAACGACGCCGGAGCACTCACATGTATGGCGTGTGCTCATGTGCTTCAGAAGGATTTTGTCGTAGATAGTTGGGCATGTAAGAGCTCAACCTGTAAAGGAAGCAAATACATTAACGCTGGAGATGCAGGCGTATGCGGTGTTTGTGGATCGACGAGGCAGAGGTGACGTCTTGCAAGGTGGCCACTTCTTGTTTATAGAGTGAGAACATAGTGTTAGTATACTCGATATGATACCCTTGGACGAGAATGGCATAGCAGTTTTCGGTGGCTGCTGCGAAAGTCGTGACTTCATTCTGTACAACTGTAAAACGCCGAAACCTCACCATTCATAGCCTATACCGAGAACCAAAAAGACCAGCAAATGACAACCAACACCATGCAATGCCTAAAAATACACTAACCGATCTCTGTACACTGAGGAATACCCTCGAGACTGTGGGTCTCGGATCCTTCAAGGATACTGCAGGTTCTACCTTGCAATCCTCAACTGTGAACCCCCAATACTCTTCTTCGCACTAAGCGTCATACCCACACCCGCTCCTCTTCTGCTATTCCTCCTCATGCCTTCCAGCTTGGCCTTCAGCTGCTCGTGAATTTTTCTATTTTGCGCCCAGTCGTCCGCAAACCTTTGCATCCGAAGTGCAGCAATGACTGCAAGACCCGCCGATTTGAGCGTAGGCCGACGGTCGTGGATGGTGATGTCGGGTGTAATGCCCATCTGCGAGATGAGATTCAGATCTTGCTGGTTGCTGCACAAGCATTAGCCATATATGTCTAGCGTAAATAATGGAAAACAAGACAAACGCACCATTCATTGTAGGTCGAGATTTGCATCAGAAAAAATCTCTTCTGGTAGCCGAGAGCTTCGCGGAACGCCTCTGCGCGTGAGCATCGTGCTCGGAGGAACTGAATCTGCTTGGCAAGACCGTTGATCTCCTTGATATGTCGTTTTGTAAGAGCTTCGGCTTGCTCGTCCAGGTCGACTGCATCTTGGTTGGCCTTTTGCTGTATCGCTCTCGACGACGCTTGAAGTAGACGTAGCTGTGATTCCTTTTCGCGGAGCTGCGATTGCAAGTCCTTCAATTGGCGCTCAAGCGATGACTGTTGGTCGCGTGCAGTCGACTTCGCTTCAGATAGAAGCTTGCGATGTTGAGCATCCTTTTCGCGAATTCTCGATTCCAGATCGCGGATCCGGTCCTCGAGTTTGAGCTTTTGCTCACGTTGAACTGCTCGGGTCTCGGACTGCAATGCGTTGCTCTGGCTCTCCTTCTCACGAAGCATTGACTCGAGCACACCAATCTTCTCCTCAAGTGAGGCCTTCTCTTCGGCTACCTCATCGGCGTCATCTTGCAAAACAGCAATTTCTTCCTCATAGTCTTCCTTCTCGCGATTGGTAATGTCTCTGAGCTCTTCGAGTGCCTCTAGACGCTCCTCTGCTAGCCGTTGGAGAGCTTCGACTTGACTCTTTTGCGAATCCATCTGTTCGCGAAGGTCTTCCAGTTCGTTGTCCCGTTTACGGACGATGTCTTGCATGACATCAATCTGTGTATCTGGCTCATCGGCATGGCTTCGTAAGGCGTCGAGCTCCGCTTCCCGATCAGATATCGTTCGTCTTGCGGTTTCCAACTCTCTCGTTCGGTCACCGAGGTCGCTCTTGAGCTGCTTAAGATCTTGAAGCATCGCCTCTTGTGCTTCGACCTTTCGCTGCAGAGTGGCTATGTCGCGGTCACGAGCTTGCAGTGTTGACTGAAGACTAGACAGGTCCCGAGAGATCGCGTCGCGTTCCCTCGTGATTCTCTGGAGGGCTTCTATCTGCGTATCTTTGCCTGACACGGCCGATCTGAGGTTGCGCATCTCGTTTTCTATGTCGTTGCGTTCTTGGCGAAGACTTGCAACCAATGTGTCGCGGTCACTATTGCCTCTCCGCAGTGCCTCCACTTGATCCTCCTTAGTCGAGATCTTAGAGACCAAGCTGTCACGCTCGCGACGAAGAGTAGTAAGCTCATGGGAGAGGGCATCGCGCTCTTGCCTCGCGTTGTTAAGTGCCTGTACTTGAGCATCCTTGCTGTTGAGGTTTGCGCGAAGGCCGGTGAGTTCCTGGGTTGCGTCATCACGCTCTCTGCGTAATCTTTCCAACACGTCCAGGTCGCGGTCCTTTTGACTGAGATCTCGACGCAACTGCTGTAGTTGTTGTTCATAGGTCGATACGTCTTGCTGCAAACGAGTGATTTGCTGCATTGCATCTTGGTGCTTTTTGCGGAAGTCTTCAAGTTCGTCGGCTCTGGACTCAGCCGCATCGACTCGAGATTGCAAAAGCTCTATCTCAAGACCCTTCTCACGCGCAACTTCCAATGCTTTCTGCCGGGCATCGTTCGCGGATTGTTGAGCTAGTTGTACTTGGTTATCACCTTGTGATTCCGCAAGTTCTAATCGTTCATGCAGCGCATCCATTTCTGCTTGCCGTTCGTTCTGAGCAGTCTGAAGACGCCTCTGCAATTCCCGCAGCTCGTTGTCCTTTTCACGCTCCATTGCACGCAAGCGTTCTTGCACTATTGCGATTTCTCTTTGTTTCTGCTCATTGGCCTCATCAAGTTCCCGCTGTCTCTGTTCATCCGCTTCGTCCAGTTCGCGTTCCAACTCATCGAGGTTTCGCTCAAGCTCGCGGATTTCTTGTTGCTTTCCCTCTGTGGCAGACTGCAGCTTTGACTGTAGGGAGTTGATTTCGGTATCCTTCTCGTGTTCTAACGAGCGAAGTTGTTCTTCTAGATCCTGAATCTTCACCTGTTGTTCAGCCAGTTGACGGTCTTTCTCTGCCTGAACTGTATCCTTGGAATCTTGAACAGACCGCATCTCTTCTTCAAGTTCGGTGATACGCTGGGCTTGTTCCTTGAGCTGGCGATCCTTTTCTTCATCCTCAGATTGTGACACCCTCGCTCTTTCTAGCTGATCTTCTAGATCTTTGATGTGCTCGTCGTTTTCGTCCAGCATCTTATCGCGTCTTTCAACCTCTGCTTGTGCGTTCTCCAGATCCGCATTGACCCTCTCCAGCTCTTCTTCCGCGCTCTTTGCCTCTCCCAACTTCTCCTCGAGTCGTTCAATCTCAGCAATGCGGTCGTCGGCTAGTCGTCGGAGCTCGTCCATTTCTTCGCGCATGCCCTCGTCGGCATGCCGCCGCTTGACTTTCTCCGCATATTCTCGGAGTTGCTGCTTGTAGTGGTCCAACTCTGTCTCGGCGGCTTTGAGGTCTTTTGAATAATTCTTGAGGTCGCGCGACATGGTAACCTTCTCGGACTTAAGGTTAATGTTCTCTTCCATTGCTTGACGGTTGAATTCGGGCCCCATCTTCTTCAAGTTCTCTTCGAGGAAATGGATCTTAAGCTTCAAGCCAAAGTTTTCCTTATCAATCTGTGCTAGTCGCTGAATGTAGTGTTAGTCGGTTTGGACCACAGGCTGGTGACCAATATCTCAGGTGTCTATATTTACTTACATCTTCCTGCTCCCTTAGGGTGAGCACGTTGCCATTCCCGCCATCCATCTCCCCCTCTGCTCTCCTTGGTATGGCCATGGGCGTGCTCATGGCGCTAGAGTTAGGATCGGGCAGTTGTGTGCGGTCATCGACCGATTCGGCAAAAGAACTTGATTGCACGTCGAACATGCTCGCCTCAGGCAGCGGCGTATTACTGACCTGAAAGCCTGGCTTCATGGCAATGGGTGTTGTGATCTTCCCGTCGAAGAGGCCATTGACTTGGCGTGTTCGATTCGCGGTTGCACTCTTTAGCATAGGCGTGAACTCGTTTTTCGCGCTCAGGTTGCGTCGTGTAGTCAGCTGAGCCCGTGGCGTACGAGCGCCGCTCATTTGTTTGAAGAGATTGTCGCGGTCTGTCGGGGCATGGAATGTCTCTTCCATGCTGAAAGAGGGCTCGTTGGTTGTGAAGCGCGTCATGTCGCCAACCTCTGTGCGAGGCGTATCGAGTAGGTGCGCCATGGTTGGGCGATAGATATGTTATCTATTTGTCTATTGACGCATGAGTGAGAGAAATAGCAGGTACTTTGGTGCGCGCACGTCAAGTAATTGTTGACTTTCTTTGGGTTGTCGCTTGGGGATACCTTGGGTGGTGTTGTTTGTTTGGGACGCTCGGACCATGACAAGGATACTGCCCCCGCCGCTAGCCAAACCCGGCTGCATCCGCAACGCGCGTAGCGGCCAGTCACGTGTTGTGATTTTCCTGCCTGCACCAAAATCTCTATCTTAGCTGCCCTCAGAAGCCGTTGCAGGGATCTGTGATTTTCTTCCTACGAAAAACCCTCTAAACCGATACTTTCTCAACCCTCCGTTTTTGTTTCCCACGAAAATTCTTGGTCAAAATACGAAAAAACCAGTACAAGGTCTCCGCAGCATGGAAGACCCCCAGGATGGCCTCAAGTGGTTTGGCGAGGGATTTGACGGGTTCCCCAAGAAACTACCCGACGACGTTGTGGAATACATCGTCTTTATCATAGACTCTACACTCTCCGACATCCAAACCAGAGAAAGATTGCAGAGATTTCAACGTGCATTGAACACGCTGGAAATGAAATTTCTCAAGGAGTATATTTGGCAACGCGATTCGCTGAAACTTGAACTTGTCCGCGAAGAACAAAGATGGCTACTTCGAGGCCACACCAACTATGGGGATAGTATAGTGGACGAATGGCTGATCGTTTACCTTTTGCGTGAGCTAAGCAAAGAATTCAAGGATGCTTGGATACGCATATACGATAGTGATGGAGAGTTTCTACTCATCGAAGCTGCGAATGCGCTGCCCGAGTGGCTCACTCCAGAAGTTGCAGATAACAGGGTATGGATAAACAGTCATAGACTGCTGATAGTTCCCTTGGGCAAGGAGGAGGACCCTGCACCGCTCTCCCAGAATCAAGTCCTACAAATAATACGTGACACCCCAGGGCGACCTCAACAGTACATCAAGGTCGAGAAAGAGGCATTCCATCGATTGAGTGGCTATCCCACTGCCATCGCAGACAATCAGCATCATGCGACAGTGCCCCTCCCAAGAAAAGTTGCCCATTTCCTACATCTCAATCCATCGTACATTGCTCCACTAGTAGAGGCGTTCTACCTCCGCGACCCCATCTCAATACGTCTGCTGCAGCCCGAAAAATCAAAGGTACCTCTTGTATTCCCACCGGAAGACTTCGTCGACGTTAGTGTGCGTTGTACGAAAGTACTATACGCGCAGCTGCTTGGACAGCATTGGGAACCACCTGCACCATGGGACTCTGCACTGAAACAGCTCGTAAAATCAGGAAAGCCAATCGAGAAAGCTGAAATTGGCCTCAAAATCACAGCTGGCATGCAGATGCTAGTTTCGCATTCCATCTATGCCTCACAAAAATCTGCACGCGAGATTACTATACTTCTCGAGGACCTCAAGAATGGCGATGACTCACTTCCTACGAATGCCGAGATTGCTAGCTGGCCAAAACGCGACGATGACGAAGGCTGGCTTAATATTGATTTTGCCGAATTCGAGAGGGAATTGGAGGGTAAAGGCAGCAAAGGACACCGGGGCTTTGGCGACAAGAATGCACAAGAAAATCTGAAAATGATGGTTGCCCGATTCAACGATTTCCTGGCCGACAATGAAGCGGGCGCGGAAGGTGCGGACGGCGGATTTGACCCTATGGACGAGGACAATGATTCAGATGCAGGAGAGAGAGGGTGGGATGATCCTGAAGATAGTGACTCTACTACGGAGACCAACACCAAAAATGAGTCAAAGACAAAGTCCAGTCACGAGGAAGCACAAGAAGGGAAAGAAGAAGAAGAAGAAGAAGAAGAAGAACAAGAGAAGAGTACGGATGACGAGGCAGATGCTGCAGCGGATGCTGAGTATGCCGAGTACGAGAAGTACTACCAAAAGTTCATGACGCTCTCTGCAGCGGAAAAAGCTATTCTTACAGATGAAGCACGTGCTTTAGCACGCGAACAAGATGCTGAGAAAGATGAAGACGAAGAGATTCGAAAGCTGAGCGAAATGATGGAAGCAGAGTTGTTCAGCCACGGCGCTTTGAACATCAACCCAAAGTCTGACCAAAAGTCAATATCGGGAGTTGCTTTGCCTGGAAAAGACAAAGGTAAGGGCAAAGCGAAACCCTCAGAGGTTGACAGTGCGGAAGAGGACGAAGAGGACGACGACGGTGATGATTTACTCGATGAAGACTACAACCTTGCAGATAACATGCTGAAGGCGTTTAAAGGCCAAGCTGGAATGGCCGGGCCGGCAGGAAATATGATGAGAGCCATGGGTGTACAATTTCCGCAGGATGCTGACGATGAAAGCAAGAGTGGGCCGTCCAAGCACTAGGAAGTTTTGGGAAATTCGAGGTCCTTCTGTCGCTTTGAGCTAAGATACCTGGATCTTTCCATTGTGTCGGAAAAGCCTTTGCATTCGTTGTACTCGAAACAGTGTTTGTCCCTTCCTAGCATACCGTCTTGGACCTGGAAATAAACATAGTGGATATCAGACCCATGGTTTCCCGTCCCCACCACCTCATGAAATTGCTTTCCAATCCCTAAACTCTTTCGACGATGAAATCTACTACTCCGAGTCTTAGCTTTCTGAGGGTTGATTCTCCCTTCTATTCTCGAATAGATGTAACGTAGTTTATAAGCGAGTGAGCCATACAAGCGAGTGAGCCACCCCACCAACTTTGCGCACCTCTCTTGTTATAATATACAATGACTCCACCAAATATATCTCAACACGTCTCTCGTGAGGCTAATATACACCTTGCAGTATCAGCTCTTCA